CTGACCCTGTGGCCTGTTGCCCCTCTCTCTGTGTACGGGCACCTGTGCACATTTATTTTTCCTCTCATCCCTTTTTGGGGGAGTGGTGGCGGGCCGCAGTTGCCACCGCGTATGACTGGTGGCTTTGGATGCCTGCTGTGCCCTCTCTATGGATTGCTTTAGCTATGGCAGGTGTTACCACTGCACCTAGGGGCCTGCATCCCTGTGCATGCACAGGCCTGTTTGTTTTGCCTCCTCCCCTTGTTAGAGCAGAGTTAGTGTGTGTGTGTGTGTGTGTGTGTGTGTGTGTGTGTGTGTTGCATGGCCACAGTTTTCTCCTGGCTCCGATTTAAAGTTGTTGTGGACTGAGGGGCATGACAAACTAGGTGTGGGAGTAACTTAAGAAAGTCATAAGGTACCATGGTGAGTTTTCCATGGGAGGCCAGGGTCCCAGTAGGCACAAGGAGGGGAAGGCAGACAGAGATGAAGGACAGGGTGGTAGGACCAGGGAGGGAGTGTGTGAGTAAAAGTATGTCTGCTGCTTCTGGTGGGGACAGAAGGGGTGACCTGACACCCTAGTAAGGGAGGGGAAGGCTGAGCCTGGAGGCAGGACACATGCCTAAGGGATTAACAATTAAGTGTTCTTCCAGGTTGCTCCCACAAAATGGTACTGGAACACTGTCAGCCTCACAAAATCTCTACTCGGGTCACTGCCTCCAGCAGAAGGGGTATTTGACAGGTGGGAAAAGATAAAAAAATTGTCAGGTACCAAAATCAATCAGGTCTCCTTCAACATATCATAAGGCATACCCAAATAAACCCTGGGCTTAGTCTCAGCCCGCAGGGAGGGAGCAAAAGTGCCTCCAGAGCCGGAATCGCTGTGAGGTCAAAGTTGGCTAGGAGCTGTTGGCTTGATATCATGATAGGAAAGTCCCACAGGAAGATAGGAACAGAGACAGACAGGGCAAGCAACTCAAGGGAGTCTACCTTTGTCTAGTCCTCAGCAGGGGGTTTTCCCTAGCAGGAGCATCCAGCAGGGCGCTGGAGACTTAGGTTGCACCTTAGGCATGCCCCTGTTGGTTTGGCACTCAAGTCATACTGACCTTGGTCCAGGATAAATGTCTCTTCATGGTTGCCAAAATTTTATGTGCCAATTTGAAGTGTTGTGGGCTGGTGTCAAGGGTCCTGGCCTTCACAGGCCAGGGACCTGGCTCATGAGGCAGCTGATGGATTTGTTAGCCAAAGCTGGTATATGAAGTAGGATTTATTAGAGAGAAAGGAAAGGCTACAGCTAGAGCAGTGCAGTGGAGCCCAGAAACTGGTGGCTCCCTCCTCAGGTGAAGGCTGGGGTTTTTATGGACGTTTTAACTCTGGGTTAGGTGGTCTCTTCATTGGCTGTGGATTCGCAGGCTTTCTCAGGTGAACTGTTCTGTTTGCCCCTTATTGGGGGAAGGGGGAACAATCTTGAGAGCATTTTGCTCATCAGCCCTGTAGCAGATCTATCAGACCCTGTATCTCCTCTTCAGGATGCAGAAATTCAGATTTACAACTCCTTCTCAGGATGCAGGAATCATAGTGCTCTGCATGGGGGGGATGGGATACTCATCTGCCTTAGGTCTCCAGACCCAACAGTCTCTTAGGAAAAGTTAGGTCTAGGCTGATATTTGATGAATGAGTAGGAATTGGCCAGGCAGGGGGCCTGGGGTTAGGAGCAAAGAATATAAAAGGAAGAAATTTGCAGGTAAGAGAGATCCCAAGAACACAGGGAAACTTTCTAAGAGTTCCATACATTTTTGTCAGAGGGCTAGTCAAGGTGTGAGTGTGACCTTGGGCAAAACTACACCTTGAGCCACTTCACCAGCCCTTTTTTTGTGGTAGGTTTTTTTCGAGCCAACCTGGGCTGGCTTTGAACTGTGATGCTCCTGATCTCTACATCCTCAGTAGCTAGGATTACAGGCACGATCCACCCGTACCCGGCTGGAAAGCAGATTTATGACCTTGACTGTTCATCTTGTGCTAAATTAGTGATTTCCAAACATTTAGACATGAATCCCATAAGTAAAACATGTTTTATGTAATCCAGTAGTTCATATTATTTATAAGTTAATATACTAAAAATTTACATATAAAGTAAGCACAAAAATAAAAGGATCTGCTAAAGATGAAATGTAGACTATTCTCATAATAATTTTAATCTGTTAATACATAAAGCATAATGTTTCATTCTTTAGATCTTGGTTTAATATTGTGATACATCAGTTCAGAGGGCTGTTTATAAATTCAGTTTATTTGATACTTGATTTTAATAGCCATCAAATGAGGAATTTGGCTGTACTTTCAAAGTCATGATATTCTTTTTTTTTTCCAAACTGTTCACCCTTTATGGAAATGTTTTATTGAAATGTGGCCTGTACATTTCCATCTGTCTACTAGCTTTTCTTGCAAATTAATAAAAAAAATTGTATAATGCTAAAAATCACTGACGGTCTTCACTTAGTTGATTTTTTAAAAAGAAGTTAGAATATCCTGTTTCCAGTTTTTTAAACCATGCTAATATGAGTTTGGGTTTTTTCTTTTTAATACTGTTTTCAGGTTATATATACATTGTTTTCAATAGCAGAATCACTTAGCAATGGAAATGTTTCCAGATATCCAATTTTGAAATGCTCTATTCATTAGAGCAAGGTATTTTTTCCATTTTTGAAAAAGTTATAATTTATAGGGGCAGGGCAAGTTTTGTTTATTTTTTAATATCTTCTTGGTAGTATGCTACTTCTAGCCTCTTCAGAAATAATTAGCACATTTGGATCACTAGTCTTTTTACAAATAATTGTGCAACTCGTCTGTGTGTAACAAGTCTTGTCAGTACTTACCTTATAGTAACCAGAGAATCCTGGTATTATTCATTTTAAAAAAAGAGATTTTGATAGCCTACTTTCTCTCTCTTTATGGAGTGTGAAAAAATTCACGTTGTAAAGATCTCGTTTAGGTAAGTTAACCTCAGTGACATCCTGTGGCCCTTTGTGCGTGTCCTTGGGACTTAACTTGCAGCTAAGTTTATCTGTGAATGAAGCAGTAATTGGCTTTCGCATAAGGTGCTATGTTTGTACTTTTTACTGCTAAAGCAGTCATTCTCTCAGTGGTTACAGTTTCCCCCCAATGCACATTCTTTCATGTACAGTTGAGAGTGTGTCTTTTTCAGTGAATGGTTTTTTCTGGGTTTTGTAATTATCCAGCAAACATTCTAAGACAAAAGAAACATCTGTGTTTTTATCTAACCATGTAACAAACATCCTGTATTGTAATTTATATTGATGTCACCCATTCTGGAAGTTTCTAAGAGCTTTTGACTGTATTTGCACTAAAAGAATATTTAGTTTGTCACCGTTTTGCTTTCCATGTATCACTTCAGCCGTATTCACCAAGCTTCATGGCTTTGTGTCTTTTCTCCTAGGGAAACTTTAGCAGTTTTGACACTAACTCTAATGCAATTTTGTGAAGTTCTAAATTAAATAGCCTGTGTCTTTAAACATAGATGCACAAATTAGAGAAGTTTATCTCATGCTATGAATACTTAAAAGGCTGGGCAAATTCGAAAACCATTTCGTTAGATCTTAAGGTACTTCACAGTTAGGGTAAAGTTCATCTTTAATAAACATTAGTATAAGTTAAATATAAATGAAAGTACTAATATTTTCTTCTTATACCCCCCAAAATTATCATGCAAATCTTTCAAAAGCACATATTCCATTACAAAGACTGTTGCTCTAAACGACTGGGATAATGAAGGCTGCAATCTATCTCCTAGGGAGACGGAGCTTGGGAGATCATGGTTCTAGACTAGCCTGGACAAAAAGTTAGCAAGACCCCATCTTAACAAACAAGTCAGGCATGATGGTGTGTATCTGCAGTTCCGACTATGAGGGAAGCATAGATAGGATTGAAGTCGAGGCTGGCCCCTGGTAAAAATGTGAGATCCACTTGGCACTGGTGGCTCATTCATGTAATCCTAGCTACTTGGGAGGTAGCGATCAGGAGGATCTCTGTTCTAAGCCAGCCTGGACAAATAGTTTGAGAGACCCCCATCTCAAAAATACCCAGCACAAAACAGGGCTGGCAGAGTAGCTCAAGTGGTAGAGCACCTGCCTAGCAAGTGTAAGGCCCTGAGTTCAAATCCCAGTATCACACACACACACACACACACACACAAAACAACTGGGATAAAGATAGTGAAACTAGCCTTTTAAAACGAAATCGACAGCTAGTAGCTGTTGACTAAAAGGGAAGTTGATTGCTGTTTTTCTTTTTATGTGTATCTTATAATTATTATAATATCTTATAATTATTTTTGTAGAGAGATGCTTAGAAGATTTTTTTCATAATCTATAAAAGATGTGGTTCATAGCCACTTGGGAGCGCTTTAAAAAAAGATGTTTTTTCCTAATGTACTTTATCAAATTTAGTAAATTTACTTCACTGCATTTTTATCAGCCAAGATTCTCTTATAAGAGATAGAAAACCAGTTTAAGTTTGAGCAAAAAAGAATTTCTTGGCTCTTAAGCAATGTTCAGGGCTTTTAAGCAATTTCAAGGACTTGAACTGGTAGTCAGTGTGTGTGTTAGTTTCCATGTGTCTGTTAGTTTGTCTGTGTCTGTCAGTTTGTCTGTGTCTGTCACCTCTGCTCTCCAGGGACACTTTAACTGTCTTTTAGAGTGCAGAGCCTCCTCCATGTGGTGTGGTAAGGAAGAGTTTATGTAAAACCCTTTGGGGTTACATAGTGGTGCATGTGGTTCCCGTGTGCTGTGATCAGTAGTCAGTCCCACCAGCACTGCCCACCTGAAACAGTGGCAAGGGGGAGTTTCCCAAAGAAAAGGTTTGCTGTTATCGCAGAGGAAGGGATGCTAGGAGTCAAACTGAAAAATGCTTACTGCAGCATCTGTGCTAATGAAGAGAACAGGCATATTCTGTGAGGTTACAAGGCCTGACTTAATTTTTTTTTTCCTGATCATTGATTCCTACAGAGCATGCAAGCTGCAAGATGTCCTACAGATGAATTATCTTTAACCAACTGTGCAGTTGTGAATGAGAAGGATTTCCAGTCTGGCCAGTGAGTATCTTTGTGACTGTTTTCTTTTAACCTTCTAAGTGGTATTTTAGAAACTTCTACAGAGTCATTTTAGGGAGCTTTTGACGATTATTTTTTTTTATTACTTACTGAGTGGGAGAATGGAGTAAATGAGAAAGAGTTATGTATTCCAGTCATTACTTGTCAACTTTGATAAATGTAGTATTTTTAAAATCATTGATAGCTTTTTATATGTAACTTTTTAAAAATGATTTTTCCCTCACCATAATAGGGATTGAACTCAGGGCTTTGTACTCTCTACTACCTGAACTAAGTCCCCAGTTCTTTTGTTTTTGAGCCAGAGTGGGCTGGCCTCAAACTTGTGATTCTCCTGTCTCCACCTCCAAACAGCCTGGGGTTTCAGGTGTGCTTTACCATGCCCAGATTTTTTTTTAAAAGACAAGTTCTCCCTATGTATCTCAGACTGGCTTGGAACTTGGTATGTAGCCCAGGCTAGCCTCAAACTTGGGATCCTCCTGACTCGGCCTCCCAAGTGCTGGGATTACAGGTGTGCACCACCACAACTGTCCCTTTATTGATTTTTCTTAGCATAGCTTAGCATGCTGGTCATGTGATTCATATTTAGCATAGTTGTTAGGTGTTTGGCTTTGGAGTCAGATTGTCTGAGTTTAGATCCTGGCTCTGCCAATTACAAACCGGGTAACCACAGATATGATATTTACCATCTCTGTGTCTCCGTGTCCTAACCTTTAAAATGGGGACAACAGTAATATCTTTCCCAATTTTGAAGAGTGAGTTATACCAATAAAACACTTAGAATAGTACCTAGTATATTAATAAACCCTCATTAAAGTTTAGCTTTTAATGGTCATGATTACTATGATAATCGAAGAGACATAAAAATTGGAAGGTACATAACAAATGTAGAATCTTAAAAGTATTTCACCATAATTTGTTTTAACTGGTTCACAGCAAACACTGAACTTCCAGAGACCCTGCTGCCAAGTTCAGCACCATCCACATGCTTCTGAGGTTGGTGGAGATAAGGAAATGAAGGGGCCTTACCAAAAGGCAGGCTCGGGACATAAGGAGATGAGGCAGGATTTTAACTGAGCTTCAGAGTAAGAGGCAGTATTGCATAATGGGGTTAACACTGTTTCTAGTACTAAACATTCTGTGATGCTAATTGAACGTGGGATCTTTATAGATAATTAGTGTAAGAATTTATTTATGGAATTATTTTATTTTACATATGTTAAATGTTCACCATACTCATGACAAGGTTATTTAAAATAATAGTAGTTATAAGGAGCTTGTGTTTTAGTGGCAAAGCATAATATGTATAGAAATTAATCATTAACATTAAAAATTACAGCATTGTAAAGATAATTTTTAAAGAAAGATAATTGAGCTGGGAGTGTAGCTCAGTGGTAGTGTGTGCCTAGGCATGGAGAGGTCCTGGCAGGTTCAGTTACCAGCACCCCACACCCACATTTACATACAAAAGGTAGTGCTGTTGCCTAACAGAATGTAAAGCTTTTATCTCACTCATAGTCCTTATTTGTGAGATGACTATCTCTTATGTATGTATTGGTGACTTCTGAGCAAGAAATTGGCACAGAATTCTTTGACATAGCAAATATTGACATCTACATGAAGGCTAATATATTTGGAGAGATTTTTCATTTTTACCATCTTTTTATTTTATTGACTGTTACTGTTTAAGCCTTTGGGAGAGTCTGCTAAAATATTTAATGAAGAGTTCTAAAGCTAACTTTTTTTTCCTTTGGCAGGGCCTCACTTGCTGGGAAGATGCTTTACCACTTGAGCTATGCCCCTAGCCTGTTAACTTTGTTTTTTGACCACTGTATCTTACCTTTTTTATCTTTGGTTCTCCTACCTTTATTTTGTTAGGATATGTGAAATAATTCTCTGAGAGGAAATTCATCTTTTTTTTTAACTTAATTTTAAGGACTCTTAAATCATTGGCTTACATTTTATGTGAACTGAAAATGTTTTGGGTTGAATTACTCTATTGGCTGAATTCTACTTGATGTGTGCTTGGCCAAGGTAATCTTCATGCTGGACATCATTTTGTATTGCTGACAGTTTTTAGAAACTAAACTTGTACTTCTGTTCCTTCAGGGTTCTCAGATAATGCCATGGTTCCATCTGGTACTCATCTAACATCAGTTTGGGAAAAACACATTTAGAAATTGTGTTCTTCATTTCCTCTAAGAACTACTGACTCTGCTTCTGTCTTTTAGACATGTGATTGTGAGGACCTCTCCCAACCACAGGTACACATTTACACTGAGAACCCACCCATCCGTGCTTCCAGGGAGCATTGCATTCAGCTTACCTCAGGTAATCGGATGTCAGTTTATTCCCTACTCTTCTTGAGTCAATGCATTTTAAGCAAGCATTGCCCTGTAACTGCTTTGATTCATACTGAAGAAAAACATCTCCAGGTAATATATAAAGAATTTACATATATATGTATATATACACATGGTACTGGCATTTGAACTCAAGGCTTCTTGCTTACTAGGCATGTGCTCTACCACTTGAGCCAGGCCTCCAGACCTAAAGATACATTCTTTTTTTTTTTTAATTGTTTTTACATTTACTCAAATGTGTATACATTGTTTGGGTCACCTTCCCCTCCTACCCCCACTAAAGATATATTCTTAATTGCCAGTTATTTACCATGGCTTCCTTATTGCTTATTTTTTTTTCTAATTTTGAAAAGTTCTGCAGTAATATCAGCTATCAGATAAAGTGTAATATTGCTTTAATGCTAACTCCCAAGGTAACAGAAGAAATATAAAAATTTTATTTCAGCCCCGAGTTCAATCCCTAGTATTAAAAAAAAATTTTCATTTGTAAAATTGATATCTATAATGGAGGTTTTATAGTGTAATAGTGCCAGACTAAAGAACATGAAAAGAGGTTTTTTTTTTTTTTTTTTCATTTTTCTTTTATTATTCATATGTGCATACAAGGCTTGGTTCATTTCTCCCCCCTGCCCCCACCCCCTCCCTTACCACCCACTCCACCCCCTCCCGCTCCCCCCCGCCAATACCCAGCAGAAACTATTTTGCCCTTATTTCTAATTTTGTTGTAGAGAGAGTATAAGCAATAATAGGAAGGAACAAGGGGTTTTGCTGGTTGAGATAAGGATAGCTATACAGGGAGTTGACTCACATTGATTTCCTGTGCGTGGGTGTTACCTTCTAGGTTAATTCTTTTTGATCTAACCTTTTCTCTAGTTCCTGGTCCCCTTTTCCTATTGGCCTCAGTTGCTTTAAGGTATCTGCTTTAGTTTCTCTGCATTAAGGGCAACAAATGCTAGCTAGTTTTTTAGGTGTCTTACCTATCCTCACCCCTCCCTTGTGTGCTCTCGCTTTTATCATGTGCTCATAGTCCAATCCCCTTGTTGTATTTGCCCTTGATCTAATGTCCACATATGAGGGAGAATATACGATTTTTGGTCGAAAAGAGGTTTTTCAAACTAAAACCTAAAACTCGCTCCCCCACAACTGGAAGGGTTGTGACTACGTTGTAACTGTTGGTGGATTCTGTGGAATCAGATGTTCTAACACTGTCTTAGGCACACCATATGAAATGTAGGAGTACCACAAATACTAGTCCATATAGTTTTTCCCTTACAGTTTTACTCAGGCTGCTGACCCCACCATCCTAACAATGTAAATGCAGTCCTTACCTTCTTTTCTAGCGTGCCTGTGAGCACTGATTTGTTTCCTTGCAGATCTAGGGAAAGAAGATCAAACACTCATTTGGGAACTATTTAAAGATTTCCTGGAGCCCTAAAAACTTGTGAGAAATTTTGACTCACTTTTCCGTTTTTGTCTGTTTGGATGCCTCTCCATTATCAGGACTCCTTTCATATTTGTTTCTATAGACTAAAAGTTTGGGATAGTTCAGGGTCTGCCAGCTTTTACAAAGCTTTAATTGGGTTCACAGTGATCCGAAGTAGCTTGAGGTGTCTATTTCTCCTTGTTTTTCTACTTTGCAAAAAAAAGAAAAAAAAAATTCCCTCCCCCAACTTGCTCTTTAATTCAGCAGCTATTCTAAGTACTTTCCAATATGTTAGCTCATTTAATTCTCAAAACAACTAATACATGTTATTGTTATCATCCCTTGATACTGTCTTTGGAATTGGAGTGCAGAGTCTAAATTGGCTGCTTTGTGACCCAAAATCTAGGTTTAACCAGCATGCTGCTAAAGTCAGGTTGGCCAGATGTGAAGTTGGATTTCTAGAAGGGGTCTCTTAGAGGAGGTGGGGCAGAGAAGAGGGAGTGTGGCCCTTGGTGAGAAAGCTGGGAGGGGAGCACTCACTGTCACACATACTCATAATGCAGTACCTTTTAAACCACCCACACAGATTCCACAAATTTCAGCCAAAATTATTTCTGTTAGTGTACTTGTAGTGTTATCACTAATTGCTAATTTTGACACTCTTTCAAGGCAGCCTAAATTCCTGCCTAAACACAATTTGTCCTACCTGCATACATTCTTGCCACTGTAAATAATCAGGATTGGGGAGAGACTAAACTGTGGCTATGAATGCCTGGAAATCCTTTGAACGGTATACAAAGGAGAGTACTAACAATTTAACAGTTTGAGTTCCTGCTGGAGTTTTAGTATAGTTTATCTGACCAGTTTTAATTTAGTTTTTATGAATTAAATTTCTTTTTGTGGTACTGTAACAAAGAGTGAAACAAACTGTAGCAGGGCATTTGGGATGCTGACAAGGCTGATTCAGTGAAACCTTCCAGAGCAGTAGATGATACAGACATATCCCACAATTGGCCAGCTTTACTGTGAAGGGCAAGCTTTGGATGTTTTGGGGTAGGTGTTAGATAGAAACTCTTAATATCTGCATTAATTTCTGAGGGCTGCTATAAGAAGAACAAATTGGGTAGCTTAAAATGACAGAAAAATTTAAACAACAGCAATAACAACAAAAGATGAATTAAAAAAGAAACAACATAAAATTTTCAAAAACCAGAAACCAGACATTTATTCTTTCTTAGTTCCAGAAACTAGAAGTCTGAAATCAAGATTTCAAGAGGGCAGTGCTTTCTCTGAAGGCTCTAGGGAAGAATCTGTTCCATGTTTAGCTGTTGGAATTGCTGGCAGTTCTTGATGTTCCTTGGCTTATAGAAGCATCATCTCAGTTTCTGCTTCTGTTATTATATGGCATTCTCCCTGTCTTTATGTCTCATCTCAAAAAGACATGAGAGACCTCATCTTAGTGTGATTGTATCCACAAAGACCCAACTTCTAAATACAGTACCCCTAATACACAGGTGTCAGGGGTAAAGACTTCATATTTGCTAGGGGTGGGTTGGTGGTATTGGTTCACAGTTCAGTACATAACAATGTGCCATGTTTTGATATTGGGCTATCTTCCTGAAGTTCATAGAAATTCCTCTTATCTTCATTTTTCTAATTTTGATTGATGTGTTTTTTTTTCTCATTTATTTTATAGCGAAAATGGGCTGGACTTTCTATTGGACAAGAAATAGAAGGTAGGTATTTTATTTTATTTCTTAGTCATCTAAGGTAGACTTTTCTTTGTGATTTTACTTATAGTTATTTATGGCTATATAATTTTCTATCACTGGTTTTCAGGCCTTTAACATTCATTCTATTCAGAGTACAGGTTAGATCTATGAGAACAGTAAGGAAATAGTGGTGCCACCTATGTTTTTTCTTTTTTCTCTGTACCTGTGTTACAAGGTCATTATAGTTCATTAGGGAAGGACAAAGAAAGCAATTTATTACTCTGGGGGTTGGGGAGAGAGTAAGTCAAGGAACTAATAAGCAAAAACTTGTGTACTTACTTGTAGTCTAATTATTTTACTTTTCTTTTCATTTCCCTCATTGTGTGCATGTTAACCTTCTTTGCCTGTCTTCCATTTTAACCACTTTCTCTCTAGTATTTTAAAATTCTTTTTCTTTATCTTGGTTGTTTTCCTTTCTTTCTTCACTGCCTCCTTTTAAATTCAGTCAGATTTATTCTCTCTTGAGTATCTTTTAATTTATTTATTTACTGTATGCTCCACTTTTGAAATTTTTTTTCTTCACTTTCTACTCTCGTTGCACGTCTCATTTATTTCTGTTCTTAGTTTTTTATCTTCTTGTTTTATTTTATTTTATTGGCGGTATTGGAGTTTTGAACTCAGGGCCTCATACTTGCAAGGCAAACACTCTGTCACATCCCCAGCCCTTTTTTTTTAGTTATTTTTCAAAAGGGTCTCTTTCTTTTTGCCTGTTGTTGGAGTTACCTTGGACTTCTACCTCTGCCTCCCACATGACATGTGTCGCCAATGTTTGTTCTTTTTTTTTCTCTTTGAAATAAGTTCTCTCTAACTTTTTGCCCCAGCTAGCCTCAAATTGCAGTCCTTGTTTCTCTGCCTCTCAAGGAACTGGAATTATGGCATGAGCCACCACACCTGGTTTGTCTTCTGATTTTAGTTATGTTGCGTGTCTACGTTTTTGTCTGAGGATAGTTAATTTAGTTTAAATAGTTATATTATGTCCCATACCCCAATCTCATGACTGCTGTCTTTGGGAAAGACACTTTACCTGCTGAAATGTGGCAATATTTGTTATGTGTTGTTTACTTTTCATAGCAACTTTGTGTTGGACTGCTTTTTCTACTTCTTAGTTATTATTTTGGTGGGACTGAGGTTTTGAACTCAGTGCTTCATGCTGCAAAGCATGAGCCACACCTCCAGTCCATTTTGATCAGATTATTTTGAACATGGGGTCTCACATCTCACATAAGAGATGTGAAGTCTATGGCCATATTACCCTGAACATGCCCCATCTAATCTAAGAGATGTGGATTAAGGAAAATAAATCAGTAAGGAAGAAGAACTAAGAATCTCACAAAAACAAAAGAAAAACAGGCCATGCCAACCAACCTCTTACTTTTCCCTCTACCTCATCAATATTATTCATGAAAGAAACTGTACTTCTCTCTATACTGACAGAAAAGAATGTTCTTGAACTAGTAATATTGTCTACAAAATTATTAGAAATCGCTACGTACCAGTGGCTCACACCTGTAATCCTTATGGCACCGTCCCTTCTCTAATTCTTAGCAACAATTCTTTAATGCAGCTACTTCTGGTCTTACTTATTTTCAAGTCATCTCCCTGTCATAGAGCTACAGACTGCCAAGTCCCAAATCTTTTCTTTTTTTTTTTTTTTTAGTATTTTTGTCATTTAGTGCTGGACTTTATCTTTTTGGAGATGATTTTGTCTATACTTTATCTATGTTCATCTCTCCCTTCCCCTGATCTCTCTCTTTTCCGCAATTGAAGCTCTATGCTTATTTCTCTCTTTAAGTAATTCAAGTTTCATGGTATTCTCCTAGTAATGCTGAAAGTGTGGGCTATATGTGATATTATTTGTCTCCTTGTTGCTCTCATAGGCCTTTAGGGGATATTCAAGTTCTCAGGGCCCCCATTATCCTCTGGGCCCAATGCTTTTGAAGACATTCAGAGATCCAGCAGCTCTAACTGGCTAAAACACTTCAGAGAAGTTGGTAACATTCTACGTCTCATCTAGAAATACGACGTCTTACGATTCTTTTCTGAGTTGGGTGGAATATCGACGTTGAGATTATCTTTAGTTGACTCTCCTTTTTCTTTGTGGAAGTAGGATATAGATGACAGTTTTTCATTGGAGGTTAAAATAAAGAAGATTAATTTAGATATGGGTGGTCGAAGGAAAGGTTGCATAATTTGTGCTTTCCAAACTTGCCTAAAAGAATTACCTGGGAATTTAATTTTTTTAAAAAAGATTCCAGCTGGGTGCCAGTAGCTCATACCTGTAATCCTAGCTACTCAGGAGGCAGAGATCAAGATCATGGTTAAAAGCCATCCCTGGCAAATAGTCCATGAGACCCTTTCTTGAAAAACCCTTCACAAAAGAGGTCTGGTGAAGTGGCTCAACGTGTAGACCCTAAGTTCAAGCCCCAGTAACAATCAGTCAATCAAAATAAAATAAAATAAGAAAAAGAAAAAAAAATTCCCAGGCTCCTCCCTAGGGGAATCTGGTTCATGTATCTGTTTTTAACAGTCACCTTTAAGTGGTTCTTACCAGCCACATTTTGGGAAACACTGACATAAGTGATTCCCTTAAGTATCACTTCCTCACCTGAAGCACAGTGAGAAGCTGAGAAAGTGGAGAAGTTCAGCACCAAAATGAAGTAGGTCAGGGTGTGAAGCCAGAGTTCCCTGTTTGCAGACCTTGGCAGAGATGAAAATGAGCACTTGCTAAAACATCTGATGAGAAGATGAGGTTGTATGCAGCTTAGGTTTCTAAGTTTTTTGTTTTGTTTTGTTGTTTGAGACAGGGTCTCCCTCTTTAGACCAGGCTGGCCTCAAACTCATGATCCTCCTGCCTCAGCCTTCAGAGTGCTGAGATTACAAATGCATACCCAGTAGGTTTCTAATTTCTTTAAATTTATTTGTCTAAATATGAGAGTAAGAGTGCACAAATTTAGCTTTTAATGTAGATATTTTCTGTTCTGTAAGTGTACAGGAATTCAAGGTTATACTTTTTGGTGAGTTGAGAAATGTGTATTGTGGCTTATATTATGTTATAAAAACCTTTTCCTTTTACCAGCAGTAATTTTCTTGATTGTATAGTCACCTCTTCAATGAGGTGAATCAAACAATTTAATGCATGAAATTATAAAACCAAATGATCAGGTGGGACTAAGGTTGACGGAATGAGCTTGAGGTAAGGAAGTATTTGGGGCATGACTGATATGGATAATGTGGCCATAAAGCTAGAAAACTGGATTGGTGTATGTAGAGATGTAGTAGAGATAGAATAGGGGGTGTGGTTTGAAGGAGTGTACAAGGAAGGAGTGTACAAGGATTCTGGAGTTACCTGTAAGGTGAGACTTTTTAGTTAAGTCAGTGATTTTAGTCTGAGAGAATCTCTTGGAAGTTTCATTTTGTATGTCTTCTCTCTACCTGGCAATGTCATACTTTTATTACAGACTGATGTTTAATTCATACATACTTTTACTATATATATGCTACTATACATTGATGTGTCTAAGTGGGGTGCTGGTGGCTCACGCCTGTAATCCTACCTACTTAGGAAGCTGAGGTCCAGAGCATCACCATTGGCAGCCTGCTCAGGCAAGGAGTTCATGAGACCCCATCTCAACCAATAGCTGGGCATGGTGGTGTGTGCCTGTCATCCTGAGCTATGTGGGAGGCTAAAGGTAGGGAGAATTGTGGTTCCAGGCCAGCCCAGGCAAAAATGTTTGTGAGATCCCATCCCAACAGAAAAAAGCTGAGTATGGTGACACACATGCTGTCATCCCAGTGATGGGCAGGAAGCTTAAAATAGGAGGATCTTGGTCCAGGCTGCCCTGGGCAAAAAGTGAGACCCCGTTTCCAAAACAACCAGAGCAGGAAGGACTGGAGGCCCGGCTCAAGTTAAAACAAAACAAAACTTTTTAATTCATCTTTGATAATAGGTTGCTACTAGTTATAAAATAAGAAAGCATTCTGTGCCTTCTCACCCTTTGCTCCTGGTTGGAACTTTCAGGACTCCTGACCATGGTGCTGACTGTGTGTGTTGCCTGGGACACTGTCCGTGGTACTGTCCATAGCATTTGAGATTGTAACAGCTTGTTGTTTCTATTCAGGAACATTGATCTTAAATTAAAATGCATTTGAAAATGACCATCAGTAATGATGATATTTAATATACATATTTAACTTTATTAGTATAAAGATAATGTAAATATATATATGCACACACATACACTACATATATTATTTTGGAGTCTTTAATGCACAAGATGAGGTCATACTGTGCAAGTCTTTCTAAAATATACTTTTTTCATTCAGTGTTATATTTCCATGAACCATCAATCTTTATTAAATGTAAATCAGGTTTTTATTTAGTAAAGTTGCTGTACAGTATTCCACATTGTGAATATACTACATTTTATTCATTGTTCCCCAACTGATCAGCACTTTCGTTGTTTGACCATTGAAAATAATTCTGCAGTGAACCCCGCTATAGGCAGATGTTCAAGAGTCTTTCTGGAAGAGATGCCTGGAAATAGAATTGATTAATTAATTTATTCATTTTTACATTAATATTTCAACCCACAGTATGTTTTACTATGTAGGAAACAACTAATCTCTCTTGCCTATAAGTTATCCATTATAAAACCTTTAATTTCTAGGAAATGTGAAGAAGGAACAAAAACATTTGGAATTAGAAGCAGGAGAATATTTGGAACTTTCAGCCAAGACTCGAAATTACTCTTTCATCTTTAGTACATTTTCTTTTTTTGACTTGTTTTTTCTTTTGCGGTACTGGGGTTTGAACTCAGAGCTTCATGCTTGCTAGGTAGATACTCTACAACTTGAGCCACTCCTCCGTTTCCCTAATCTTTTCTGATTTTCTTTTCTTTTTTGAGACAGGGTGTTGTTAAGTAGTCCAGGCTGGCCTTCAACTCACAATCCTCCCATCTCAGCCTCCCAAGTGCTGGGATTACAGACATGCACTATCATGCTCAGATTTTTGGTTAAGTTCGGGTGTAGTGGCATATGCCTATAATCCCAGGACCTGGGCTGGCATGTAGCCTAGCATGCATGAGGCCCTGGGTTCAATCCTAGCACCAAAAAAGAAAAGACAGAAAAAAAAAAAGACCTCTCCCCAATCCCAGGACTTGGGAGGCAAGATAGGAAGATTGAGGCCACCCTAAGCTACTTAGCGAGCCCTTGTCTCAAAAAAAAAAAAAAAAAAGAGTTTTGGCTGAATAGTTACTACATGATATAAAATTATATGTAATGTTTTAATATTTAAATTGATGATATTGTAACCTAAAAGCTATTTTAAAACTTTTCACATGGCCTGAGTAGGAATTTTCTTAACGAAAGCTTTGCGTGTATACTTGTCTTGCCTCCTTTGTTATTATGGAGATAATAGGGGTTTCTGTTGTTTAAATAGTTCACTTGTAAAGCACTGGTAGATGCTGTTACTATAAAGATAAGTTAGAAATACGGCTCTTGCCCTGCTCTACATCTGGGACATGTAGAATTTACTACTGTTCCCTGATAGAGTGGGTGCTTCATAAATATATTTGTAGTGTTAAAAAGAAATGTCACACTCTGACTTGCTCTAGAGGAAGTCTCCCCAGTAATCATTGTTCTCAAGCCTTTTTCTGGACCTGCAAAATAATCTGCCCACCTCTCAACAGTAGGTCTTTTTTGTATCAAACAAAAATCTTTGGAAACCACATATTATGCTAATCCTCTCATGATTCCCATGCTGGCACTCTGTCCTCTGCCTTGTGAGACGGGAGAAGATTCAGAGGACTGTGTGGGGAGGCCTGTGATTTTGCCATAGAGGGGTGAGAGGTAAAAGTTGGGGGAGGATGCTGTTGAATATTTTCTAACTAATTCAGATGAGAAGAAAATCTCTGGTGGCTGTTATTTTTAAAGTCTGTATCTATGTGTCATTCCAGTGAAGCCATGTGAAACCCCCTTTTGGTCAAGTGCAGTTGTGATTCATCTACTTGAAACTTGTAGTTACTAGAAACACAGTAAGTATTTGGTGTCCCTGAGGTTTATAAAAGCATTTCTTCTTCCCCTAGTCTCCTCATATACATTTGACAAAGCCAAACAGTGTATTGGCACAATGACCATCGAGATTGATTTCCTGCAGAAAAAAAACATTGACTCCAACCCTTATGACACTGACAAGATGGCAGCAGAATTTATTCAGCAGTTCAACAACCAGGCCTTCTCCGTGGGACAGCAGGTAGGTTTAACTTCATTCCTTTCATCTTACAGGTGTTTTAACCATGCGGTTGTCCTGAATGACCTATGAACAGGCATATCTAAGAGGAGTGATAAAAAGTGAGGGAGATGGGTTTACTGAATTTCTAGGTGTCTGTTCAGAAAAGTTCTGAAGTAGCTTTTAGCTTAAGATATCAAATATGATTACAGCAGTTTTCCATCTGCAAATTTGGGAAAACTGTAGACCTATATATCTGAGATTTCTTATTTCTTTTCTTATTTTAAGACATTTGTTTTGTCTCTGGTATGCTTTTTTTTTCACTAACATATTTCTGTAGAAAGGTAGTTCTTAACTTTTTTGTTTACGGACTTATTTTCAAGTTTTTACGGAACCTCTGAAGCCTAGACTTTCTCTCACTGAAAACATTTGCCAATGTTGCTTGTTTTTTGGACTTCAGTTAATATCACATTATTAACTTCCTAGGAAGAAATTATTGTTTTAAAAAATTTTTTGCTTAAAAGTGTGAGTTCATCAAGTATTTGTATATGTAAATAATCACTGCTCTTTTTACCTTACCACTACATTTTTCTTCTTGTGGCTTTCTTTTTTTGTAGGGGATAGTGTGTGAGGCAGAGTTTTGCTATGTAGCCCAGATTAGCCTTAGACGCAACCTTCTGCCTCAGCATCCTGAGTGGTGGGATTACAGATGTGCGCCACCATGCCTGGCCTTTGACATTTTATTCATTCCAGACTCCATCCTCATACCTCAGCTCCATAGCAGCTATTCTCAAAGTATGGTCAAAAGGCCCCTGGGGATCCCTGAAACCTTTTCAGAGGTTGTAAAAAATCAAAACTATTTTTAAAATCATACCAAGATGTTGTCATCTTCCTCTCATTCTGTCTCAAGTGTACAGTGGAGTTCTACAGGACTATGTGATGCATGCCAGCACAGCACATTGACTGCTGTGGTAGACATGAGGATCCAGCTGTCTTCCAATAAGCCAGCCATTAAGAGATTTGCAGGGACAGCACTACTCTTCTCACTTACAGTTTTTTAAACTAAAAATGTTATTTATGTGAACACATAATAGATTTATTATTGTTAATTTAAATTTATAAATAAAAAAATTTTTTGTTCTGTTCTCTAACATGGTAAGTATCAATAGATTTAATCCATAAACAAAAGCTCTTTGGGTTCCTCAAAATTTTGTAGGCTCTTGAGGCCAAAATGTTTGAGAATTGCTGCTTTCTAGCATTCTGATCGCTAAGGATGTCCCTAGATGGCTCTTGCAGTGTCTCCCATGGGAAGCAGGTAGGCTAGGGAATGGGAGCAGCGAAGACGGCAGGAGCTTTGGGCGTGAGAGTCGACTGTTACTTTGCTGCTCTTTTGTAACTGTCAGATCTGGAAGAAGAAGAATCTAATCATCTAGGTAATCCACACATTGTAACTTCAAGTTTTTGCAAGCAGAAACTGAGTTATGGATAGACAGGAAAAGAAGATAGTGCATTTTTAGAGACGAATGGAATTGGAATGGACCTCAGATTCTTGTTCAACCTCCTCATGTACAACTGAGGAATTTTAGGTCCAGAGAAAGCAAAGAACATGTACACGGGAGCATAGCTGAGATGAGAATTAATTAAACAAATATTTAATAGCATGAAGTATGTACCAGCATCTATTTTTAGGCATTGCAGATCAGCAGTGAACAAAATAGACACAATCCCTACTCTCCTAGACCTTACTTTCTAGTTGAAGAAGACAGAAAATAAAAACGAAACACCACGTCCTGTACAGTTCTCTGACTGAATCTGGATGCTGACTGGAACTGCCGCAATGCCATCTTGTACAGGCTGGTCAGAAGACTCCCACATACCATTTAGTCCACTGTTTGTTGACACCTGTCTGTGCTTTTGGGCCTATGCTATATTACTTCTGGATTTCTGCATTTTTTTTTAATATTACTGTACTCAGATTGCTTTTACATTTGCCTTTAGCTTTAGTGTCATAATAGAAAATGCTTAGAAGAATGCTTTGGTATTTGTAATGATTTTATCCCCAATAATATTATATGTCAATAAATGCATGAAAGAAAATACTCCAGAATACAGAGAAATAAGCATCTTACCCTAAAACTGTTCTTAGTGTTTCCTCTCCTTAGTGGTAGTTAGTAGTGCGGGTTGGCATTTACTATTCCACATAGAAGAAGGCCTGACCTTCTAGAAGGTGCTTGGCAGATACTTGGTGAAAGAATGCTTGAACATTCAGTTGCTGTCTCTGCACTTGCATGGCAGGAATTTTGTGCCATTCATAGAAAAGCCTGAGACCCAGGCTTGATCCCTGGCTGTCATTTACTTCCTCTTGCTGGATCTCAGTTTCCTCATGAGTAAAACTGAGTAATAATTTCTTTTTCCAAGAGTATTTATGAGTATTAATGATGTAACCTCCTACAGTGTTCAGAATATAGTGGATAATAAGTGTTAGTTCCTTTTTCTTCTCATTGGCTATGTGAGTGTTGTGCTTGTGTTGCAGATTGAAGAGGGATGTACAGGAGAAAACTGATTTTCTGCATTTGGAAAATATTGGTAATAAGGTGAGAATCAAGCCATATACTGTGAAGTAATTTTCCTCCCCTTGCCTCTTTTCTGTGTAGCTCGTGTTTAGCTTCAACGAAAAGCTTTTTGGCTTACTAGTGAAGGATATTGAAGCCATGGATCCTAGCATTCTGAAAGGAGAGCCTGCGACAGGTAAAAGACAGAAGGTATGCTTTGTTTCTAATCTTTTTGATATGACTTGTACAAATTAATCTGATCATCTGACTATACTCTTGCTGAGCAATTTTTTCATATTGTGTACACTTTTAGATAGTAAGAAAAAATGCTTTTATAGTCAACATTGTTATTAAAATATAACTTAAAATGTTTGCAGATCTAATAGTAATTTGAAATTTGTGTACTTATAATCCTAGTTGAATGTATTTATTATAAATAAAGAACAAGAGCATTATTGAAAAGACAGACACTGAAATGAAGTATGTAGGAATTGTAGAATGTAGTTATGAGAAAAGTAAATGTAGCTCAGATGATTGGTTGGGGGATTTGTTTGGCACAGAGACTTCATTTCCCTTCCTTTTTAGCCTTTTTCTGAGAAGTCCAGAAATCTGCTGTTAGCCTACTAATTATTATCTTTCTTGCAGATTGAAGTAGGGCTGGTTGTAGGAAACAGTCAAGTTACATTTGAAAAAGCAGAAAACTCATCACTCAATCTTATTGGTAAGATTCACAGTTTTTTTTTCTTTTATTCATATGTGCATACAATGTTTGGGTAATTTCTCCCCCCTTCTCCCTACCCTTCCCTTTCCCCCTGCTCCCTCCCAGATTTAGAGTTTTTAGAAGATTATAAATGAACTGCTATTATATGTATTTCCACTAAAGTGATTTTCAAGTGGGGAGGAGAAGAGGGGCACCTCCCTTGACAGGGTTTAGCACAAAATCATGGGGTATTTCATATTTGTTAGAAGTACTGATGTAAAGTTTAAAACCATCATCTAGATCAGCATTGTCCAGTAGAAAGAGAATGAGAAACACATATGCAATTTTTACTTTCCCCATAGCCACACTAAAAATAAGTAAAAAGAAATAGTGAAATTAATTTTTAAATTTAAATTTTGAGACAATTTTAGGCTTACAGAAGATTTGCAAATATGGCTCAGAGAATGCTTATACCAGCATTACCCAGCTTGCCCTGATGTGAACATCATCTACAATCATAGCAGAATGATCAAACTAAAAAATTAACATGGTTTCGTTGCTACTAACCAAAGCATAGACTTTCTTTGGATTTCACCAGTTTTTCTATAATGTCCTTCTCTACTCCAGGATTTCATTCAGGATCATCCCACCTTGCGTTTAGTTGTTCAGTCTGAGTCTTCTCCTGTATCTGACAGCTCCTCAGAATTTCATTATCTTTTGTGACCTGGAGGACTAGTCAGTTGTTTTGTAAAATGTCCCTTACCTGGTTGTTGTGTTAAATAAGACATTGTCATCACTTTTGTTAGTGATCAAGAGATGAATATATAGTTAAAATCTTTCCAAAGGTTCAGTTCAATCCTACTCTTGTACTTTAGTCCTACTTTTATTATATTAAAACAGTGCATTGTGGTCTTGAGACATAGTGAGTCATCAAAATAATGGTGTTGTTAACTGGTTAACAATTCTTTTTTATCATTGATTTAACTATGCTCATGTCTACCCTAATAGAAATTAGAGGGTTTTCAGTGGCTGCATGCCATTAAGTCCAAGGTTTCTTAACTTTCTTTAAATGTGTGCCCTTTTTTCTTGGTCCATAAATTACCATTCCCTCTTTTTGCTTGTTTGTTTCCTTGTTTGTTTTTCTTTGTCTTATGTAGCTCTGGTTGACTTTGAACTCTCCATGTATGCTAGGTTGATCTTGAACTCTCAATCCGCCTGCTTCCACCTCCCTGTTGTTGGGATTATAGGTGTGCACCATCATGCCCAGCTTGTTTTTTCTTATCCGCCTGCTTCCACCTCCCTGTTGTTGGGATTATAGGTGTGCACCATCATGCCCAGCTTGTTTTTTCTTAATTATGAAATATGGATAGATATTCACTAGAAAACAATTCATTCCAGTATTTGATTTTACTTTATACTGTTTTTGAATTTTCTTTTTTTAAACATATTTGGAGCATCCTAAATATGCTTCTACCATGTGATAGTTAATGTCTACAAGTATCATTTTTATGGCTGCTGGGTATATCATAATCTCCTATTATTAACCTAAATATTTATGAAGCTGATTCCTTGTATCATGTTTTTATACACCTTTTGTTAAGATATCTTAACATAATTTTCATACAATGTAAGTGTTTCTAAGTAATGCATGCAAAGATGTGATGTCCACTGGAAAATGAAATTGTGTGGTAATTTGCAGGTAGTAAATTTGGCCACAAGAGGACAGTAAAGTATAAGCAAAATGTTTTTGAACGCTTTCTAAAGGAAAGCTGAAATCCATAAATCCCTAACGATAAAATCACCATCTAAACTTCTTTTAATGTGGTATTTCTTCCCTGACTTTATAAAAACTATGTTTTCTTTTTTTTTGTTTAGAGTATATTAAGGTACCTTTATTGTGTTTGAAATAGTAGCTGTGGTTCTCTTGAGTTCCTTTAGGTGGCACTCTGACATTGAAATTAGATAATTTTTTTTTGTAAGCACAAATTTTGTAATTATTAAAGCCTTTAGAATTTCTTTAGACTTATGTATACACATGAAGGAAGAGCAAATAAAGCATCAAACTAAGTACATCTTTTCAGGCTGAGGGGTTGTATGCTCAGTTGTAAACTTACTCTAGATAAATAGGTGTATTTTAAATATATTTGCTAGGATCCTTGAGAGACTGCTAGATTTCAGTTGCATTTCTGGTACGTAGTAATATTTTCATCAGATATGCATATGATGTTTCTTCTAATCAACTAAGTTAGTTAGATTAAATGTTCATGAAACCAAGTTCAATGGTTGATCACAAATAGACAATGTAAGTTTGGCTAATCTCTTTGAAAATTTATTACTGACTGTAAACAAGGACCAGGCAAAGCAAATAAGGCAATCTTACCCTTCTTATTTGAAAATCAGCCAAGAGTGTGTTGTTCATCTTTGCATAATGGCAACTTGTCTTTACTCACTCAAGATGCCCAGGGAGTACCTGTCTTTTTACACTTAATGGTGAAGTTCTTTGTTTGACATAGGCAAAGCTAAAACCAAGGAAAATCGCCAATCTATCATCAATCCCGACTGGAACTTTGAAAAAATGGGAATAGGAGGTCTAGACAAAGAATTTTCAGATATTTTCCGACGAGCATTTGCCTCTCGAGTATTTCCTCCAGAGATTGTGGAGCAGATGGGTGAGTTCAAAAAAAAAAAACTTAATAAACGCTTGTGTTATGAAAAAAATTAATTGATGAAGAATCTTCTTTAGTAGTTTTGAAATTATTTTTCAGGCTCATCAAAATGTTTTTCAGTTTTAACTTCTCTTTAAAAAACAAAACATAAATTTTCTAAAAAAACCTTCAAAATATTTAATTTTATGGTGGAATCATAGAAACAATATTTGTGGTTGCTTCATTTTATTTAGTTAGTTTTTCCATAGGGCATATTTAGATATTTTACCCGATTCTAAACTAGATCTACTGTGGCTGGGATTTAGTGCTGAGTGGTCTGTGGACATTGCCCTAATGTTGGCTGCAGCTGCTGCTTGTTGTGCTGCTGCATTACCTAATCAGTACATCTTCATACCTGGTAATGCTTACCTGGAATGTTTAAATTCGGTAAGTTTGATCCAAAAAAGACAAATGCAGGATACGTATAGGAGTTTCTATATTGTATACAAAGAAGTGCTGTATTTTTTTTTTATCATTTTCTTCTTGGAAATTAATTTATCTGGGCGAAATGACATTATTTGCCTAGTGGAAATGCTGTCATGATTGTTTTCATGTCCATATCATTTGTTAGGTTGGAATGTGAACAGCAGTATCCGAGAAAGGAATTTATAGCATAACAGCTTGTGGTAGATTATTAGTGTAAAAACAGGATCCAGAAAGCTAAAGGAATATGAATGTATTACTCCCCTCACCCTCACAATTCTTTCTTTTAAATTGTTACTGGGAGATAAAAGTATATTCATCACGGTGGGGGTGGGGATAAGAACTGCTTTCTAGGCACTAAGTACTTGGATTGTATTAGCCTCCTATTGTTGGGAGCTTTTCTGCCTGGTCGCTTACTCTGAGAAATTACGGGCATGGTACACACCTGTTCACTGGGTAAAGGTCGAGTTTAGAATTGGATTAAGAGAAAATGACAGAGACGCTCATCACCTGAGTTTTATACACCTTGAAATGGCAATGACATACTTTTTATCTGAAAGATACAAAGGCCAAGTCCGTAAAAAAACAGATTCTAAAATGTGGTAGTTCACTGGCTTGGAAAGTTGTATTTTGAGGCACAATAAATCATAAAGCTTTTTAAACTAGATGTGGAAATATTGTTTAAATATATTTTGGGTAAAAGCAAAGTTAAAATGATGGTTCTAAATGTTATAGGTTATTCTTTTGAAATATTTTCACTGGTTTTTAGGAATGAGATCTGGAAGAGTCTAATGATTCTGTTTCTTTGAACATTTTTACTATCCACCCAACAAGTAGAAAAGTAACAGCTTCTGAAGTAGGCTGTACATTTGAATTGTATCTTCAGTGTTTTCTCACTCTTGGGAAGCTACAGAGGATTTAGTGCTTCAGATAGCAGTTCCCGTTGTATATTACGCGGCCCTTGCACGTAGGGCCTCTGTCTGAGGTTGGGTAGTTAACGTATAAAGGAGTAAAATTTATATCAATTTGTGACTTTGCCAGCTGTCCATGAGTTTGAAATTAAATCATACAGGTTTGGGTTTTATTAGTGAATTTCATCTGTCTTGATGTCTAAATTTAAACGAGTTGAATTGTAGTAGTGTGCTTTTTTGTTGTGCCTGTGCTTTTTGACTAAGGGCTGTGGATTTAAATTTTGTTTGTGAGTACTGTTGTCTGGAGTCTTTCTTATGGATTTGTTTTTTAATATGTTTATGTTAATTTAATTAGACAAAAAAACTTTGTCCTTAAGAAGTCATTTTTTTCTCTTTATGGTAATATTAAGAGACATATGTTATCAATTTGATTCAAAGGATAGCTAATGTAAAGCTATCTTGGCTTTTGAGCCAAACTGATAAAAGCATTAATTTCTTTATTCTAAATGAAGCTCTGAATATCTGAAGAAAGTAAAGCTATTTTTTTATGATTTAATGACTAAGAAATAATTACCTTGCCATGCATGTGCCATGCCCTATTATTCTATAGACGCTTTCTTTTTTTCTTTGAATTCTGGGGAATTAATAAAATACTTCATTGCATGCTAAGCATGCTGTGGTTATAAAGTTCTCACTGGGCTCCGTAAAAGTATGTAAAAGTAAGAACTGCTATATTTGAACAAAATATTAGTAAAATTGTACAAGTTCTTTTTATGTATACTCTGTGTTCTTTTATTTCCCTGCCAGGTGGGAACAAAATTGGCTGATTTTTTTCCCTCACTCTTTGTTAATTAAATAGAAACAGTGGTATGGTTTTGGAATTCAGTGAGACAGTGAGGTTATGATCAGTTAAATCAATTCAAATGAGGAAAATAGTTAGAAAAGAACAATTTATGTAGATTATGGTGCTTTTAAGCAGAGAACTGTATTTTTGGCTTGAGAACAAATCATTGTCTTTTCCATGGAATCTGGAGTTAGATCTACTTTGTAAACAGGAATCTTAACTAAATGGCTTTTTTGCCTATATATGTCAATTTTTTCAAATTTACAAAGTGGTAAATATGTAATTTTATTTTCTTTGGTCATTATGTTTATGACTGATAATTATGCTTCTAGGTAATATAGTTCTTTCCTTTTGCTTGTAAAACTTCATGTTTTCAAAATTGAAAATATAGGTTAGATACATACAGAATATTGTGATGAAATTTAAGGAGACTAAATGACTTAACCAGAGCCACACAATTTTTTAGTAAAAGTAGGGAATAGATGAAGTCATACACGTGAAAATAATTGTTAGTTTTCAATCTGTTAGTGTCTCTCGTGAAATACTTTCAAGTGTGTATCTTCCTGTTTTGTTATATTTTTGTAGAATTAGAATCAAGGAAATCTTTGAAGGGAAAAGAAAGTCCCATAAAGCTGTATAGACAGGGATAAAGTTTATATGTAGAAATAGGAAAGGGAGCGCTTTTGTTGGTGTTTAACTGCTTGCTTGTTTCTTGTCTATAGCAGTTGGCTTCACACAAATCACAGTGGGGCAGCTCTTCCTCAGAAGCATGTGAAAATACTATCGAAGTATACCTTGCACTTAGTGAATGCCAAACAGATCTTTAGTTAGAATGTCTTCCACCGCCCACAATGATGGGTGTTTAATTAAATCCTTACTTTGTGGGATAATAGCGGCACCATTTGAGTCCTAGGGTAGAAATGTGAGCATCATACGCTGGTACCTGAAGGCTTATATGAGTAAGTTGAGCAGCTGAACACTGCTGTTGAGCATTTCCTGGTGCAGTTTTGAGGAAAGTGCTTGGGATAAATGATTAATTACCTCAACTTGTATTGTAGCTCTTTTCTTTCTGCAAAGAAACTTCAATTTTCAGCATCCCTTGCAATAATCTCTAAATTGTGAGTGTCAAAGCAAAAAAACCCAAATCCTTTTCAGTGAACACTGGAATAATTGCTTAAGAATTAGTCAGTATCTCTCCATGTAATCTTGGGAATAGGTTAACATATCTACCCAAGGAAAGGAGCTTTGGCAGAAGTGTTAGAAGGGAAGTAGTGTGGAGGCCACAGGCCTCAGCTTCATTCTGTGGGCCCTGGATGTCCAGGCCACCTAGTGGGAAGGAAAGCCCCTTGTTAGGGTCTTGTGTCCCCATTCTTTGAAACTGATGCTGTGTTCTTTTTGGTTCCCATTTTTCTGTGCCTCCCTTCCTAAGCCCATTTTCAGTCTGTATTTTTAAGGTTTCTTTTGAAATTCAAGAGGAAAGCAACTCTTTTCTGATATCATAAGTGAAACTGCAGTTCCTCTATGAGGCAGAGCTGCCGAGAAGATAAGGAGCCTTTCAATCACACCCAGACATCTTTCACATGCTAAGAACAGCACAAATAAAACATAGTGCAAGAAAGGGCACCAAGGTTTTGTGCATGCCATATTTGGGAGAAAGGGAGTTCTTGCTAAGATTAACATAAACACTGACACTCTTAAATGCATTTTCACACCCCCACTCATGAGGAGAGATTGCAATTTAAATGGGGGTTAAGACATCTAGCCGAACTCCAGCGCTCTTTAAAAGGAACCCTAAGGCTAAAGAGCTTATCTGAAATTTGAAAAAAAAAAAAAAAGTGGGGGGATGAAGCTTTCTGACATTCATCTTTTTCCTTGTATTAGTCATAACTTGCTTTTCAGCTATATTTTAGGTTTGAATGCCAACCTGACATCTGTTCAAGTCTGCCTGTAATTTATTAGCAGAGGACAAGAAAGCAAGTTGCTCTCTAGTTAGAGATGCAAAACTTTCCCCTTCTGATTTTCCACTAAGTACATGTAGAGGATACCTAGATATGAGGAGCGTAGTAATTTACTACAGTTACAAAATTGTGGTTTTTTTTAATTAGAAAAAGTAGTTCATAATTCTGTGATTTCAAAATCTCTACAGCAGGAGTTAGCGAAAAAGAATACACCCTTAAAGCAAAACAAACTATAGGTAAGTTTTTATAAATGGAAAATTTTAAGCCTTGAATTAATTTTTCCATTGTTTCTATTTTTAAGTTAAATTTGTATTTGAATAGAAATAATATAAGTTGTCCCAATATCTCAAAGTTGAACTATGTAGATTCAGCTGGCATTTTTAATTTGTAGACAGAGTTTAAATAGTAAATCTTTTGGAGAAGCAGTGTAGTTGGCAGTCACCAGTGGATTAGATTTGTTGACAACTGCAGTTGGTTATGTACAGATCAACAATTGGGTCACTACAGAGTTGTAGTCTAAGTGTTAATCTGAATGTCCACCCTAAGGAAGTGATTAAATAAACTATGATCCCTCTACAGTAGGCAGCACAGCAGAGCCAGACTTAAGATGATATGGTTTCAAATGTACAGACATATCTGTGTTAATAAAAATACATAAAACTGAAGTAAATGCCCCACAAAAGTCTCTGAGGACATGTTAAATTGAAAGAAGTGTTTAATTCTGTGAAGGGAAGTTAGAAAAATAAGGGAGACTTTTGTTCTACTCTATTATCCTCTCCATCTGCATGTTCTACTGTGATCTTATATCTCTATTGTGCAATTTAAAAA